AAGTTGAAACAAGGCCTGAGACTATCTCAGAACCCTGAGGAGATGGCAGCCAACCTCACAGTCCAATCAGAATTTGGTTGTTCCTATGCCGTGTCTGCAGCCCCTTTCCTGGCAGAACCCTAGCAATATGAAGTACAGTTGGACGACTGAGAATCTTTCTTACTGATTCTGACCCCCAGAACAGCCATGAAGTTATGCCTCTCCTCTACCCCCTCTTTGTCTACCTCCACCTCAGCCTGGTCCAGAGTGACTCCAAGAGCACAGTGGAAAGCTTCTATAGCCGCTTCCATGGAATGTTCCTACAGAAAGCTAGTCAGAAGGACATCATTGAGCAGCTGCAAACAACGCAGACCATCCAGGACATTCTGTCAAACTTTCAGCTTCGTGCATTCCTGGACAACAAATATGGGGTCCGTCTCCAGGAGATAGCTACAACTGCCTTATCCGCTACCTCCAAAGCAATAATAACCCTGCCCTGTGCAAGGTGGTTGCCGTGCACATTCACTTGGACGTGCAGCCTTCCAAGAAGACAGACTACCAGCTATATGCCAGTGATGGTTCCTCCCGCAGTGAGAGCAGCGACCCGGAGCCACCAGATGTGCCCAACTCTATTCTGCAGAATGGGGCCGCCCTGGCAGTCTTGCAGGAGAGTATCAAGCAGGTCAAGGATGGACCTCCCTCCCTCACCACCATCTGCCTCTATGCCTTCTATAACACAGAGCAGCTGCTGGATACTGCAGAGATCTCTTCTGATTGCAAGCTCCTGGCTGCTGGGTTTGACAACTCCTGCATAAAGCTCTGGAGCTTGTGGTCCAAAAAGCTGAAATCAGAGCCCCACCATGTGGACACATCTTTTATCTGTCTAGCTTGTGACACTCTGGAGGAGGAGGAGAATGAAGAGGATAATACAGACACAGAGATGAGATGAAGATCCTGCGAGGACACTGTGGCCCAGTGTACAGCACAAGGTTCCTCTCAGAGACCTCGGGGCTGCTCTCTTGTCCTGAAGATATGTTCATCAGGTACTGGGACCTAGGGAACTTCACCAACACTGTGCTGTATTAGGGACTTGCCTACCCTGTATGAGATGTGGACATCAGCCACTACATCCTGTATTTTGCCAGTGGGTCCCATGACCGTACTGCCAGGCTGTAGTCTTTTGATTGGACGTACCTGCTGAGGATATATTCAGGACACCTGGCTGACATGGACTGTGTCAAATTCCACCCCAATTAAAACTACGTGGCATCAGGTTCCAGTGACAAAACTTTCTGGCTGTGGAGTGCCCAACAGGGGAACTCAGTGTGGCTATTCACGGGTCACCGAGGTTCCGTGCTTTCCCTTTCCTTTTCTCCCAAAGGTAAGTACTTGGCATCCGCTGGTGAGGACCAGAGGTTAAAGTTGTGGGACTTGGCATCTGGGAGGCTTTTTAAAGAACTGAGAGGCCACAAGGACAGTATCACCAGTCTGGCCTTTAGCCCAGACAGCGGTTTGGTTGCCTCTGCCTCCATGGACAACTCTGTGCGGGTCTGGGACATCAGAAGCACGTGCTGCAACACACCTGCTGATGTCTCTTCGGGTGAGCTCATGTGCATGTACATTGGACAGATGAGCAATGTCCTGAATGTACAGTTCATGGCCTGCAACCTCCTCCTGGTGACTGGAATCACATAACATAAATTTTTTAATTCAGGTGGCAGAAGTGGTGGGGCTGGAAGACTGGTCACAGTCCAGGACTTGCTAAAACTGAATCAATGATTGCAAAAGAAACCTCCCCTACCCCACACTCACCCAACACATCTCTGGTGCACAAGACTTCAGTTCATAGCTGTATGCTCAGGCTTGAGGCCTCCTGATTCTATGCAGGTACCTTGCTTTTGCATTTCCTTCTTCCCAGTAGGGTTACTGGAACAGTTGCAGAACTCCTCTATAGCAGCTGTAGACAGTGTCTCCTGTGGTTACCCCTCAAGGGAAGTGGTGACAGGAACTTGGAAAGGAAGGGATGATCTAACAGTCTTTCTTTTCCATAATGATAGAACAAGTATTTATTATTATTATTATTATTATTATTATTATTATTATTATTAATTATCATTATTGAGGAGGAAACCTAGCATTGGCAGCGGTGTCTCTGCTTCTATCTGCAGGTTTGACTCCTGGCACAGGCTATGATACTTGGAAATTTGAGGTTCACGGAATTCAGACTTTGGTAGCCCATGTATCAGGTGAAAGGGGTACCATATAATGTGTTTTTGCAAACAGGCATGTAGCTTAACTGCACATTGAGCTCTTGCAGTGATGGTGGGAGAGAAAGATTCTTTTACTGGCTGCACTCTGTCAGTACTTCTCTATCCTAGAAGAAGTATTATGGTAGGCAGAGGATGGGCCTCAGCACTTGAGTCAGTTGTCCAAGGTTCCATCCCTAGCATCATCAACAAAATAAAGATAAAGAATAATTTTGAATAAATCTCAAAATAGGCTTAAAAGCTGGATTTCCAGATGACTGTTTATTCTGAGATGTGGCTTTTTACTGGCTTTTTCTCACTCAATGATCTTCCACACCTCACTGCATTACCAGTATAGTGAACACAGGAATGAATCATGAATGCACACTTGGCAAATATCAAACCATATTCTAAGGACAAAGCAAGTTCTAATGTGTGGAAACAGATTAAATATTTCTGTTTTCTGACAAGAGTTATTTTGTATTTTGTTTTCTATTAAAATATATTTAGGTACAAAAAAAAAAAAAACTTGGGCAATGGAGCCATCTGACTTGCAGCTTGGTAACCACATGATTGGGGATTTAAACTAATCCATATTCTATAACCACAGTGATGCAGATCTTTTTATAGAAACAAGCCAGAGGTATGCTCTTCTTAAGGGTATATTTGAGGATGCTGGCTTTCTCTGGAAATTGTTCAAGTTCATTATCATCTTACTCACCTGCTGACAGATCCTTGTTAGATCAGAGACAAAACTAAAGGGAAGTGCAGGAGTCAGACATGAAAATGAAATAGAGCAATGAATAAAAAAATTAAATGATTAAGAAAGAAAGAAAGAAAGGAAGAAAGAAAGAAAGAAAGAAAGAAAGAAAGAAAGAAAGAAAGAAAGAATAAATAATAAGTGCATTGTGAAGCAAAAACTGTAAGGGACCAAATCTGGCATTTTCAAAATGTAGTGGTTTGAGAGAGAATGTCCCCTCCTAGATTCATATGTTAGAATGCTTGGTCAACAGTTGGTGTAACTACTTAAGAAGAATTAGTTGGTGTGGCTTGTTGGAGGAGGTGTGTCACAGAGCTGGCTTTTAGGCTCCCAAAGTTCCTACTGTCCCTAGTATGCTCTCTGCCCACTACTTGTGGATCAAGATGTAAGCTCTCTGCTGCCGCTGCTTCTCCAACTGCCTGCCACCCTGACTTTGCTCCAAAATCACAGACTCTTAAATATCTGAAACCTAAACCCAATTAAACTCCTTCTTTTATAAGTTGCCTTTGTCAGGGTATTGTTACCGCAACAACAGGAAAATAACCAATATACTAAATATTAAACATTCCCTTTACCTATACCCACATATACATCTTGATGATGCCATGGAATAATCCTTTTGTACACTGTGAAAATTTAGCACTCAGATTGATTTAATAAAAAGCTGACTGCCCTATAGCTAGATAGGAAATATAGGCAGGGCTGCCAGACTCAGAGGAGACTGGGAAGAAGAAAGGTGGTGTCAGAGGAGTTGCCAGTCAGATAGATGCAGAGGGAGTAAGATATGCTGGAGGACAAACAGGTAAAGCAATGAGCCACGGGACAGCAGAATGATTAAGAGAAATGAGTTAATTAAGTTGCAAGAGCTAGTTAGGAATAAGCCTGAGCTATCAGCTGAGTATTATTAAGAATAATTCTCTCATGGCTATTTGGGAGCAACAGCTGGGAAACAAACCTCCCTCTATACAATGGGATGCTATATTTTTATTTCGTCAGTAACACTAACCAAAAAAGTGAAAGAGCTGTAACACAAAATTTTTGAGTCTCTAAAGAAAGAAATTAAAGAAGATACCAGAACATGGAAAGGTCTCCCGTGCTCTTGGATAGGTAGGATCAAACTAGTAAAAAAGGAAATCTTGCCAATAGCAATCTACAGATTCAGTGCAATCCGCATCAAAATCCCATCACAAGCCTGAGCTATCAGCTGAGTATTTGCTATTAATAATAATTCTCTTGTGGAATTTTGGGAGCAAGTTCCGGGAAACAAACCTCCCTCTAAACAATGGGGGCTCTATTTTTATTTTGTCAGTGTCAGTAGTTAAACACTCTACTACTGAAGTACAACCCTAGCTAATAATGCCTGTATATTTCACTCATACTCTGCCCTGAAACCCCTAATTTAATAGGCATGCACATTCCTCCTGCTATCTTTGGAGCCCCCTTTACATATATAAAACATTTCTTCTGCAGTCTATGAGATAATGGGGGCCAGTTACAGTCAAACTCCCACACATGAAGGTGTATTATGTATTAGCCTCTTCACACCAGTTTGAAGCTTAGAGGTGCATTGTGTATTAGCTACTTCACACCGGTTTCAAGAAAATACCTGAAAAAACTACTTAGTGGATACAATTTGCTTATAGTTTCAGAGGACTTATCAGATTAAGGTTGGGAAGGAATGATGGGGCAGATCACATCACTATTCATCAAAGTGGACATTCTAGTTCGCGTTCTGTAGCTGTAAGAAGCCCTGGGAACAAAAGCAATGTTGGGAGGACAGGTTTATTTGTCTAACACTTCGAGGTCACAGTCCATCATTGAAAAAAGTTGGGGCAAGAGCCCTTTCATTGAGCTGGACCCTCCCCAATCAATAAATAATCAAGACAATTCCCTACAGATATAGCCATTGCTCATCAAATCTGGGCTCCTCATTCTTCCCTGGTGACTTTTGGTTGTGTAAAGTTGTTAATAACAACTAACTAGAAGAGCAAGGATATATGGCAGGGTGATGGGACAGTAGATTCAGCCAACTCCAGGATAATACTTGGAATAGATATTCCTTGACCAGTTACCCATCTCCTCCAACAATTTACCACCTCCCAAAGTTTTCAGAAACTTCCAAAATGGTACCACCAACTGGGAAGCAAGCACTCTAATCATAAGCCTGTCAGAACTGTCTCAGTGTCAAACTACAACAGAAGGACACTATACATGGCAACAAAATTGGAGGCAGGAGAGTTACTGGTTAGAAAAATGAAAGGTCAACCTAAGCCCTCATTACTTCAGTAGAGGCCACAGGTCACCAGAGACACCAAGACTCGTCATTAGAACATTATTCATTTTCCCTTAACAATCAGAGGACTTTGTGATCTCACTTCCTATTCATAACAGAGGAATCAGTAGGCTCAGGTGAGAGATGAATGGGTAACCAGTAGATTAGCCATAGTAGATTCAAAATCACAGACATTTGAAAAAGTTCAGGCTCTCATAGGAATCAAATAGAGGAGCACTACTGTTACAACTAAGTGATTTGTATGAGGAGATGCCTCAGTCTTTAAAGCCCTTGCCATGAGAGCATTAGGACCAAGTTGTAATTTCAGAAACCAAAGAAATTCAGGGTGGTTGTGGCACATTTCTGTAATTCCAGTGCTGAGACAGGGATCCCTGGAGCAAGTTGTCTGGCAGACAACAGAGTCTCTACCTCAATGAATAAGCATTTGGAGAACTAAACATTTTATCAATGCCAGGCCTCCACAAACATTTGCACATGCATGTCCACATACACATGTACACTTCACACACATACACATGTGAAGGGAAAAAAGACCCTAAATGTTGTTATCAATAAGTTAGGTTTTCACCGCATTATGTTCAGGGAAGTGTGTCTGCCCCTGAGGGAAGAGCTATCTCACAGCAATGATCATTTGCAGGACATGAAGATAAAACCAACACTGTAGGTATCCCTAACTCACTCATAAAATATGCGGTCTTTTGATAGAGACATGTATTCTCTTAGCCTTGGCTCAGAAGTTTTCTCGGTCACATAGGCTTTGGAAACAAGTTATCAGTACGGCATGTTCTGGAAACTTCCTTCAGCAAGGCCAAGCTGAAGGGTAGGCTTTGGGTTTAGGATATTGGACATATAGACAGGATTCTTATCAAGTTCTTTAAAAGCCTACTTTGTGTGTCTGTAATTAGATGGTGCCTACGAATGAGATGAAAACATTATAATGAGAGCCGATCCATATTCAACATGGTTAAGATATCTTTATTCAGATAAACACCAGCAAAACACAAGCAAGAGTGTGCCAGGGGCAGTATGCCAAACAGGCCAGAGAGAGGGTTTCTTATGTGTCTTGCATCCCCTTAAGAACTTATTATGAGTCATCATGACCTCACCTTGACCATGCCCTGACATGCATGGTCAAGGCTCCAGCAGGCATGGCTTACTGTCCCCTACAATTCCCCTTTAGTCTAAAAGAGGATTGAAACTTAAAGTATAAAATATCCAAAATTAATGATCATAAAGGTGAAATACAAGAGATAGGAGGTATGGCCCAATTACCTTCTGGTGCATTCAGGGATTGCTGCCAGGCAGGTCTTCATTAGCTGTGTGGGACTCAAACATAAGCATTAGCAGAGAAATGTTTGCTTGTATAGTTTGCATAGTCAATATAATATATCTGTTGATGCTTAATCGCCTCCTTTCATATGGAAAAACTTATCTATCTTCTCAGTTAGCTGTGTGGGTAAATTAGGATCAGTACCTCCTTATGTAATCTTATTTAACGGATTTAAATCATCATTAGATGCCCCCCAAAACGGACTTAACCATTGTATATTTAACAACTACTAACAAAAACATTTACCATTTACTCAAAGATTGTAACTATCCTTTCTAATTGTTATCTATTAAGCCTAACTGCTTTAGAAAATAACATCCACCCTAAACAATTTTTGACATTTATTCAAAGTTTCTGAGCAGTCTTTTCTAATCTAACCTTTGAAGCAGACAAGCTGATAAGACCTCATTTGCATTTTAGCTGACCTGGCCTAATTTGTATTTATAAAGACAGTTTCAAACTTCAAATCTAACAGGGTGGCTTTGTTCTTAGGTTTCTTTTCATAAACCCTTTTTAAAATCACATATCATCTTTTACTTTCTAGATTTTCGTTCTTTAATCATCAAAATTTAAGATGATCTATATCCTCTCTTCTGCCAAATTTTATACAATCATCCACAGATTCCTCATGCCCCTAAGCTAACATGATAGGCTTCTGCTATCTTTTTCATTGACTATCTCCTAGGGCTTTAATCATTAATTTTTTCTGGTAAGACATTGACTGACTGACTGAGTGGATGCTCTTGTTTGATTATATTTAAAGCTACTTTGGAAGTTTTTTTAAACTATATCCGAGGCAAAGTAAGTATCTCTCTAATCATATCCAAGGCAAATTAGGCATTTCCAATGTACGAATTCATAAATTCATAATCACAGCACGCATCCAGGTTGGACACACCGTTCATTCATAACTTGCATACATCTCACATTTATCCTTTTGCTTAGGGTATGATCAGTTTTTTGAAAATAAAAATCCCTAATTGAAATTTCTCCTAACATAGTAGCTATAGCCAATCCTTGAAATATGAGCACCCATAATTTGAGCAGATCTCACCTTAAATATGCTGTCCTTTCTTCTGTATAACTGCTTTCTGTTGCTGTAACAAGACCTGGGAACAAGAGCAATGTTGGGAGGGTTGTATGTTACCCTGAGGAGCTTCAGGCTGTCAGCCACCACCACATCAGCTGCTTTGTGGAGCCTACCAGTGACACCATCCCAAGGTGGCAACAAGCCTCTGGTTGAGGGCCGGGGGATTGTGATCACTGCCAGAACAGACCTTGGCCTTAGTTAGACTTTTGCCCTCTTGGCCACTGGAAAATCTGTGGCTGTATTTTGAGTACAAGCCTGATACCCTATTTTCTCTTCTCTTGGGACTCTGACCCAGTGCCCTTCCTGATCACATCCAAAGCAACCTCTAGAAGGCTCTGTGCCCTTCTTCCCCCCTATGCCTTGTTTCTCTGTAGAAATAACATATTTTTAAATTTGAAGTTCTTGTAAGGCAGCCACCATCGATAATCCTTGAGTGTAAGCTATGTCAAATACCTGAAAAAATCTTAATGAACTAGCAGATATCTGTCCTCTTCCTGCAAGCCCTTAGCGTGGCCTGGCATGTAGTACCAGCATTCTCATAAGCTAGCAGTTTCACAATCAATATTCTGACACCTGTGTCTCTAACATTTTTGTATAATATCTACACAGGCCTAGAAACCAATTCAAAACTAACTCCCTTGGTCCCTGCCTGCCCTCTATAACAAATACTCTCCTCCTGATCAGAGGCCTTGGCTACCCACTTTCAATTAGTAGGCTGGGAGTTCTTTATTCTCCATTACATTCTTAGATATCTCCCGAGGGCCTGTGTGCATGCAAGGCAGCCCCTATGTCTTCCCAGGCCCTGGCACAACTGTAAACACTGACAGAGTCACAGTGGTAGATTTTGCAAATGGGAAGAATCCTATTAAACTCTTAAAGTCTAAAATCTCCTGTACTTGCTTTTGCTTTGTTTCAGCTCTCCTAACTATTAAACTATATCTAAGTATATAAATAGACAATCTGACATTTTCGTCTTATATATATTTTGTGCACATTTCTGCTTTAAGAGTTAAAAACCCCGATTTACCTTTTTTTGTCAGCTGATGACTGACGGTTTCCTATTTTATATTAGAAATATCTGTTTCCTATTTCTACAATTATATACAGTTTTATTCCTGACTTAACACTGTTCACTCTCCACACTTGGCCACTTCTTACTTGTTTTTTTCTGCATGTGCTTCTGCTACAAATGGTTCACCTGCCATGACTATCTCTTCAAATTTTCCACGCCTCTGCCTTGTCCATTGCTTCTTTGGTGTTCTTTTATTGGTGGTGTCCATGGCTTCTTCCCCCGTTGTCAGGTCCCCCATTTGGGTGCCATTTTGTTGTGGCATGGCATGGCATGTCTCAACCCCAAGCCACAGCAGCCAGGAGGTTCTGCCTGAGTGGGGGAGCATGAAATTTGAAACTCCTAGCAACCCATTGGAAATAAAGACTAAGCACAGGCATTTGTCTTCTTTACAGAGCTCTCTATTCCATGTTGCAAAACTGGAGTCTCTTGTTTATTCAGCATCTTTCTGGCTTTCTCCTAACCATGCTTCCAAGGCCACGAGGCCATTTCTGTCTCCTTCAGCTGATTCCTCTCTGCTAGATTGCTCATAACACTCAGTCCTTACTAATTACTCACACACCTACCCCTACATCCAGGTGCAGGCCTACTCAAATCCTTAGACCCAAAGAGATGCAAACTAAGAGGGATTCTACACTGAGACCATGGTATTCAATAGCAGACTTGCTCACATTAGCCATACAATTGTAGGCTGGAGCTCCAGGGTGCTCCTGTTCACTGAAACCAGAGGATGGACCTTAAGACATTCCATAATGGGACTGTCTTGTTCCCCAACACCAGAGACATGAAAGAGTTAAGGTTGTGGTTGCTGGGAACTTGGCTTTTCCTCCTGAAGAGACTGAAATTATCACTTCCAAGACTTCTGTGTTCTTGTTCGATAATGCACTTGAGATACCCCGTGTTCCCCTTGGCACAGCATTGCTTGGTTAGCTTCCTGCTGACATTGTCTCACTATGTGACAATTTTCTCATGACTCTGTTTTATTTTCCCTCTGAAACTGTGTATTAGATCTTTTCCTCCTCCTCAATCCTCCTTAAGTTTTATTACCAGGGTTTTCCTTTGTAACTCTGACTGCCCTGGAACTCTCTCTGTACCAGGCTGGCTCAAATTCAGAGATCTGCTTGCCTCTGCCTCCTGAGTGGCTGGGATTAAAGGAGTATGCTCCCATTGCTTAATTAATGTGCTTGTTTGGCATAAGACATAGTTTATGCAAAGTCTTTCCTAGCTTCCTAATTACTGATTCCCATTCTACTTTCTCCTCAGTCACT